ATTTAGTATGTAACTCAGAGAATATTTATTAAGCACCTAATATGTGCCACACATTGTGCTGTGCACTGTAGATAAAGAAGTGAACAAGAAAACCCCAATATTTGCTCTTAAAAATCCAATATTGAAGACAGATGATTAAATAATAATTCCCTGTAAGAGGCAAACATTCTGTAGAACAGAATAGTACCTTGAGAACATCTAGAAGGACCTGATGCAGAAGTGATGGGTCAGGGTGGGCTTCTCAGAGCCTGAGTAAAAGACATCTAAGCTCACACTTGAAGTATAAATAGCAGTTATCCATGCAGGAGTGATGGCGGAGGAGTAAGGTGTGAGCAGGTCGGAGAGTGAGTGACTAGACTCTGCTTGTGGGTAGAGTCTAGCAGGGAATGGGGGTGGAAAACCTGTGGAGGCAACATCATGGTAGGCTCTGGAAACCAGATTAAGGGGTCTACGTTATCCAGTGGCAATGAGAAGCCACCAAAGGATTTCATCAGAGGAAGGCCAGTCTCAGATTTATGTTTTAGGAAAATCACTCGACAGTGTGGCAGATGGACTGAAGGGCAGAAGGTACCACTGAGAGCAGATGGACTAGTCAGGAGAGCTCGCAGTAAGCTGGGCTATAGTAGCAAGTGGGGATGATGAAGTGTCTCGGTGCCTGAGATAATTAGGAGAAGCATTCAAAGTGACCTATTGATTCCGGGGAATGAAGCAACAGACACAGTCAAGGTTGCCTCCCACCTCCAGCTTTCTGTCTTGATCAGAAATGTGAGAAAGATGCAACAGGAAGATGGGCAAGAATTCTTGTCTTATTGAAATACTAGCAAGACATGTCTCAGCAGATAGGAAGCCCTTTATAAAGAAGGCTTCCCTGGTGGCTCACATGGTAAAGCGAATGTGGGAGACCCGGGTTCAACCCCTGGGTCAGGAAGATCCCCTGGAGAAGGAAATGGCAACCTGCTCCAGTACCCTTGCCTGGAAAATCCCATGGATGGAGGAGCCATGTATGCTACAGTCCACGGGGTCGCAAAGTGTGGGACATGACTGAACGACCTCACTTTCACTTTATAAAGAAGGAAGTATAATACTACAAGAGCTTCCCAGGTGGCGCTAGTGGTAAAGAACTTGCCTACCAATACAGGAGACATAAGAGATGCGGGTTCAAATCCCTGGGTTGAGAAGATCCCCTGGAGGAGGACATGGCAACTCACTCCAGTATTCTTGCCTGAAAATTCCCATGGACAGAGGAGCCTGGCAGGCTACCTTCATAGGGTCAAAAAGAGTTGGACATGACTGAAGTGATTTGGCACGCAAACAGTACGTAATTCTACAAATAGTTCAGAATATTTTTTCTATTTTAGATGAAGGATGCGCTTCAAACAGTAAAGACCTGTATCACTGGATNTGACTTAGGAGAAAATATACAGTCTGAACAGATAGCTCACTAGTAGTGAAATTGAATTTGTAATTTAACAACTCCTAGCAAACAAACTAGATGGCTTCACAGGGAATTCTACCAAACATATAAGAGCTAATTTCTACCCTTCTCAAGCTATTCCAAAAAATTAAAGAGGAAGGAACATTCTCCAATTCATTCTACAAGGCCAGCATTACCTTGATACCAAAAACACACTACAAGAAAGAAAATTAAAGGACTTCCCTGGTGGTCCAATGGTTAAGAATCCACCTGCCAAGGTAGGCAACACAGAGTTGATCCCTGCTTTGGGAAGATTCCACAGGCTGTAGGGCAACTAAGCCTATGCATCACAAATTCTGAGTCCAAGCTATAGAGCCCATGCACCACAACTACTGAAGCCCACATACGCTAGAGCCCATGCTCCACAACAAGACAAGCAACTGCAGTGAGAAACCCATGCACCGTAACTAGCAAGTAACCCTCACTCACTGCAACTATAGAAAGCCTGCTCACAGCCATGAAGATCCAGCACAGCCAAAAATAAATAAAAAGATAAATAGATAAAATTACAAATCAATATCTCCAATGAATATGAATGCAAAAATCCTCAGCAAAATATTAGCAAACTGAATTCAACAATATATAAAAAGTATCAAACAACATGATAAATCAGGATTTATTACAGGGATACAAGAATGGTTCAATTATCCACAAATCAATCAATGTGATATACCACATTAACAAAATGAAGGATAAAAACTACAAAATCATCTCAATAGATGCAGGAAAAGCATCAACAAAATTCAATATCAATTCACAATAAAAACTCTCATCAAAGTGGTATAGAGGGAACCTAGCCCAACATAATAAAGGCCATTATGAAAAACACATAACTAATCTTAAACTTAACAGTGCTAACACTGAAAACTTTTCCTTTAATATCAGAAATAAGACAAGGATATCTCTCTCAGCACTTTCATTCAACATAATATCCGAAGTCCTAGCCACAGCAATCAAAGAAAAAGAAATAAGAGACATTCAGATTGGGAGGGAAGTAGTAAACTGTCACTATTTGCAATGACACAATAATATATATCAGTTCAGTTCAGTTCAGTCACTCAATCATGCCCAACTCTTTGCAACCCCATGGACTGCAGCATGCCAGGCTTCCCTGTCTATCATCAACTCCTAGAGCTTCTCAAACTCATGTCCATTGAGTCGGTGATGCCATCCAACCATCTCATCCTCTGTCATCCCCTTCTCCTCCTGCCTTCAATCTTTCCCAGCTAGATCCCCTGGAGGAGGACATGGCAACTCACTCCAGTATTCTTGCCTGAAAATTCCCATGGACAGAGGAGCCTGGCAGGCTACCTTCATAGGGTCAAAAAGAGTTGGACATGACTGAAGTGATTTGGCACGCAAACAGTACGTAATTCTACAAATAGTTCAGAATATTTTTTCTATTTTAGATGAAGGATGCGCTTCAAACAGTAAAGACCTGTATCACTGGATGTGTTTCAACCCTCATATGGGAGCAGCTGCTCATAGGCTACAGACAATTGAGAAATATTTATCTTTCTTTAATGTTTGTTCATGAAAATGTGAAATTCACTGTTAAAAGTCACACGGTTTCTCCCTGAGTAAATGAAAATTCTGTGCACATCTGCATTTGTTCACATTGTTGGGTTCCTAGAAGAGCTCAGGGACACCTGCTCACATTCTGATTGATGACTGAAGTTTATCCCGCCCCTAACTGTGAATTAAATATACAGCTGCTGGAAATGTCAGCAAAGTCACACAAAAGCAACTCTGATTCACTGCTGTTACACTATTAAATAATCAGTGCTCCTGTCACACTGAATTGGATGTAAAAGTGCTTTGTGGCTATTATTTCTGCTGGGAGGCATGCTGAAATGCCCCTTCTCTTTACCCATTAAAATCAATGGGCCACATAGACACAGTGTAGATCCAGGTAACTGAACATATTGAATGAACTACCTTTTTTCAAATAGGCAGCTCAGTCTTTCCTGTTTATTCTGCAACGATTCTTGAATATCCTGGCTGATTATCATCAAATCCCCCCACTTGTGGCTCAGCTGGTAAAGAATCCATCTGCAATGTGGGAGACCTGGGTTTGGACCCTGGGTTGGGAAGGTCCCCTAGAGAAGGGAAAGGCTACCCACTCTAGTATTCTGGCCTGGAGAATTCCAGGGCTTCCCTGGTGGCTCAGGCAGTATAGAATCCACTTGCATTGGGGAGACCTGGGTTCGATCCCTGGGTTTGGAAGGTCCTCTGGAGGAGGGCATGGCAACCCACTCCAGCATTCTTGTCTGGAGAATCCCCATGGACAGAGGTGCCTGGCAGGCTATAGTCCACGGGCTCACGAAGAATCGGACATGACTGAGCGATGAAGCACAGCACAGCATGACCATATATACACTATCATGTGTAAACTGGACAGCTATCTATATAACAAAAGGAGCTTAGTCTGGCGCTCTGTGATGTCCTAGAGGGGTGGAATAGGGGGAGGGAAGGGAGGCTGGAGGTGGGGGTGGGGAAGAGGACTGGGGGTGGTGTGGGGAGGCAATATACATGTAATTATGGTTGATTTGCAGTGTTGTATGGTAGAAACCAACACAATATTGTAAAAATTTTAAAAAGAAAAAAACAACCCACACAAATAGAAAGGGCAAATTAAAACACTAATGTAGAAAACAAACTAAAAGACATAAGAACCAGGCTGATAAGCATGTCAGACTGTCTCTTGCTGCCCGTGGCTTCAAAGCACTTTTCTATGTTATTTGCTTTCTTCATCCCAGAATAGTGAGACTATAATTCCCAGCTATATATTTATTACAGCGAAATTTCAGGTCAGCAGAACAATGTAGACCTCTGATACAATGCACTCTGGTGCACTATCTATGAATAAGCTCTTTTGGTGAAAGATATGACATAAAGATAAGACATAAAGACTCCCTGGAGAAAGAAATAGCAACCCATTCCAGTATTCTCACCTGGGAAATCCCATGGACAGAGGAGTCTATGGACTGTGGTTCATGGGGTTGCAAAGAGTTGGACACAACTTAGCAACTAAACGTGTATGACATAAAGATAATGAACCATAAGATATTTACAAAACTCAAAATGGAAGTTCAAGGTTAAAATCTGCTGGATTTGCTGTGGAGCTGTAACTCTGAAGACTCAATATCCTTTCCAATACTCTAATCCACTGTAGGCATCTATGTAAATCACTGGTTTGGTCCAGCTTCTCCAGAATGTGTTTTACTCTCAATTAATTTCACTCACTTTTCTTTTTTTTTTTTCCACTCATTTTTTCATTTCAGTCCTGATACTCTATTTCTTATAGACAACAAACTCTAATTTGTGCAAATAAGAAATACACAACTGCATGTGAAGAGTGCAATTGATTCCAGAAGAGTACAGCATGTTCTTTGCTGACAGGAAGCACATGGGTTATAAATGTGTGCTCATTTGATCACAAGAAAAACAAAAGGCTTCTTTTTTAAAAAGAGAAGAAAGAAAGAACTTTGGGTACATGTCAAGATAGTTAGGCAAAGTCATTTACCGCTTAGTATTTCTGAGTGCTGAAGGTTTCACTTGAATGAGATTGTCTAAAGCTTGGCTGTTAAAAAGAGAAAAAACACAAACTCCGATTAGCAATAGGGTTTTTTTCTTTGTTTGTGCTAGGTCTATAAGCCAGTATTATAAATCTACTCCACTCAGGAGCAACAGACAGAAGAGCTATGAAATGACTGCTTTTATTTGATTACCTTTGATTGCTTCTGATTACTGCAGGATTCACTTTGATGAGGTTATCAAGATCCTGGTTTCTTTAAATAGAAAAATAAAAAGGTTAATTATAAATTCTTTTGGTAAGATCACTAAGGTTATAAATCTGCTTGAAATAACAGTAAAACAGAACATTCTTCCTACCCAAAATATAAAAATTAATACAGTTCTATTACCTTTGATTGTTGAGGAGAATTTCAGGATTCACTTTGATGAGCTTATCAAGATCTTGATTTCTTTAAGAGGAAAAAAAATAAAGCAGCTTTTGTTAGAGATAATCCAGGTTTAAATTGGTTGGAACTGGAAGAAGGGATTAGCTATTTTATCATTGGTTGTTGTTGTTATTGTCAGACTCTTTTGCTACCCCACGGACTGTAGCCTGCTAGGCTTCTCTGTTAATGGGATTTCCCAGGCTGGAATACTGGAGCAGGTTGCCATTCCCTTCTCCAGATGATCTTTCCAACCCCAGGATCGAGCATTGGCAGGAGGATATTTTATCACTCAGCCAACAGGGAAACTCATCTGTGAGACCTATTGGTTTGGCATAGAACGGCTTTAAGATACATTTTCAACCAATCCAGGGAGGATACATTATGTAGGATCAGGAGAAAAATTGCTCTAATTTCACACAGTTTGTTTTCAGAGCCCATCTACCAGGGCACGCTGACTCAGAGTCCACAGCAAACGTCTTATGATTCACCACTTTTACTCTGGAATGCTTTAACAGTACGAAGATACAAATGATTCCAAGGTCCTTGATATTTTAAAAATCATATTCACCGACTAACAATATCATTTTGTAAAAAATTAATAAGCTCCAAAACTGGGATCATACTTAACATAAGGCTTGGCAAAGAGAGTTCCAAAAATCCATCAAAATTGTGACTTCTCTTTCCTCTATGATGACTTAAAAAGCTGAAATCATGGTCAGATTAGGGACCTGCTCTGATAACTGTCCACTTCCCAGTTGAAATGCTATCACTTTCTTTCCTCAGTTAGAGAACATGGTTTGCTATCACTCATTGCATCCATATAATACTTTGTTTTTAAGGGCTGGAAATTAGTGATTTTTTTTCTAAACCACTTTATAATATTTATCCAAAGAAATAGAGTAGCCTGCAGTGACAAGAAATCTTGGGCTTGATAACACCTGCTTCCAGTAAATTTTAGACAGTTACCTGCCTGTATCTCTTTCCCCTTCCAAAGTCCTTTTCCCTTAAATAAAAATATAGATTACTCTTCAAAAGTCTGATGGGAGATTAAGAACTAAAGGAGAACCACTTGGAGGTTAATCATCAAAAAGTCTGAGAAAACCTACATGGGAAAAGAATCTAAAAAAGAGTGGTATGTGTATAACTGATTCACTTTGCTGTATACCCGAAACTAACACAACATTGTAAACCAACTATATTCCAATAATTTTTTTTTTAATCTGAGGAAAAGGTGTGCATTTCCCTTCCCAGCCCATAAGCCTTTCCATAAAATTTGCTTCCCAGCTCATGGCTTCACTGAGTTTCAGCTCTTATCCTTGTCCTCAGATCTCCATGGCAGACAAAAAGCCCTTAAATGAATTTTCACTGTTTTGAATTATCTTCACGAATAATATTCTCAATTAAAGATAATCAACTGGTGTCTACAAACAGTATGAAAGAAATGACACATATGAGAATTATCAAAAATATAATTTTCTTGTATAAACTGGTTACAAAATCTGTGTAAAATTAAATTGTGCTTGAAAGACAATCTTTAAAATGGTGATTATTTGTACATTAAAAGAAAAAAAAGTAAAAGGATTAGATTTTTTAGAGGAAATAATATGTTCAAAGGCCTCAACCTTTTTTTTTTTTTAGGCCTCAACCTTTTACTACATAAGATCAATTGCAATATTTTTTGTGTAACTACATATAATTTTCACCTACCAGCATAATTAAGAGTAAATTGTACAAAAATGTGAACATAAACATGAGAACTTCCTTTTTTACTCTTCTGCCCAGGACAGAAAACTTGGTTCACTGCAAAACTTAGAACTATGCTATATCATAGAACTGTATCATAGTTCTATAGTTCTATTCATAGTTCAAAGAATACTCTATCCTAGAACTCATTAAAAAATATATTTTACGTCATAGCTCAATACTTCAGCTTTTCAGTCAATCAGTCAGACAGACATACACACATAATAAAATATAAACTTCACAAAGTAAGACTACGTAAGAAGAGCTCTCATTTTCTACTCTGTTTCACCATAGATAATTGGGGGTGAAATGCTGACTGCCAGTCACTAAATTAATTACCAGACCATTTAATGGATTGTGGTCTACAATTTGAGAAACACCAGCTTAGAAAACATATAAACACATGCTATGATTTACCACTTCTCCTAAAAAGACAACACCTGTGTTAATAAAGAAAGTCCTGAATTGCCTTGACTGATAGTATCATGCAACTTATCTCAATGAATTGAAAACTTATAGACACTTTTTTTCAGGCCCTGGATTCTTAAAAAACACAGGAATCTGATATCTGAATTTTATCTAGAAAAAAATGTTATGTTTTTCCTACTCAAGTTACTGCTTTCATTTATTTTGCTTTAGGGGGATACATTGGAACATTTAGCTATCATTACTTTCATGTGGGTCTCCCAGGTGGTGCTAGTGATGAAGAACCCACCTACCAATGCAGGAGATATAAGAGACGTGGGTTCGATCCCTGGGTGGGGAAGATCCCCTGGAGGAGGGACGGCAACACACTCTAGTATTCTTGCCTGGAGAATCCCATGGACAGAGGAGCCTAGTGGGCTACAGTCCATAGGGTAGCAAAGAGTCGGACACGATAAAGTGATTTAGCACACACCCACTTTCATGTAGTTCCAAAGTTATGAGGTGTTTTGTGGTCATTGGCATAAATTTGTGCCATAGTCACTTCAAAGACAGAAGTAACATTTCCAATGACCCTGTGGAAGCAGTGGAGAGCATCCCCTAGTTGTCCCATGGCAAGAGCAAAAGGCCTAGCTTTATAATTTCCACTATTTCCTGAGGTGCTAAATCAACTTTCATTTATTAAGATCAAAGCCTGTGAGCTTTGACTTAAAGACCAGAAGCTGGGCTGGGAGTTGGAAGGCTATGAGATATTTGCCCCTGACCTTGGTCTTCTCATCTGTAAAATGAGAAGACTGGATTGGGCCTAATCCTCTGCCCATCTTCTACTCCTAGGAACTATGAATATGAATTTTATTGATTGTCATATTTATTAAGTTAGCTATTTCATTTCTCCTTTTCTTTTTAAATGCAACTCACTGACAATACATTCTATATTCAGCAAGCAGTACATGTAATATTTTAAATTGACAACCTATTATTGTCTTGGAGTCCCATCTCTGTGCCCCCAGTACATAATTAGCTTTAATCTATGATAATTGCCTGCTGTTAATAAGATTGAGTATGTCTACTGAATTCTCTTTTTTGGCACCCACGGCCTATAATTATACCTAATGTGCACCTAATGATACCTAGTTGTAAGCTTCAAACCCAGTAGGTGTTCAGTAATTATTCACTGCCTAACAGATCACAGAACCACTATTCCATCTTCCACTAGTTTTCTCCGTGACCCTGGCCAAATCACCTAACCTTTCTGAGTCTTAATTTCCCCTTCTGTAAATTGAATAGGTTTGACCGGAATGTGAAAAGTGAAAGTTGCTCAGTCGTGTCCGACTTTCTGCAGACCGCATGAACTGTAGCCCACCAGGTTCCTCTGTCTATGGGGATTCTCCAGGCAAGAATACAGGAGTGGGTAGCCATTCCCTTCCCCAGGGGAATCTTCCCAACTCAGGGATTGAACCCAGGTCTCCCACCCTGCAGGCAGATTCTTTACTGTCTGAGCCCCCAGGCCCTGCTTTAACTGGGATAGTGGTTCTCGAAATTGTTCAAATAACTGGGCTATGAGTTTTCTGAGGTTCCTTCTTTCCATCTCCAAAATCTGTGATTTTTTTATGTACCAGATAAACTCAAAAAAGTGAAATCACAAAAACATTTTAAAATATGTATATATATCTATAATAGTGGTATATAATGATATAAAAATCTAAATATATATAATATTACATATATATAATGTAAATATATACATATGTCTATAACAGTAGTGTATAATGATATAAAAAATCTCCATAAACCAGAGGCAAAAACTGAATTTCATTTTTCATCATCACAGATACTACTTAAAGAATTATCATTTTAGGTCCATTGCTTTGCTAGGAGCAGCAAATCATCTAAAAAATAATGAACCTCATAAAATTTCCACCAACTATCAAACACTTTCTAAAAATGAGATGAATAAAATTGCTTATAATTAATCTGGATGAGGTGTCCAGCTCTTTTTCAAAAATTAACAACCATTAACAAATTTTAATCAAACCCAGAAACAAAGGTATTGCCATCAATACTAAAAATCATAAACAGGGTATAGGCTAACTATGTTTCTACCCCAGTCACTCCCTTCAATTGCTTTATCTGAGCTGTCTTTCTGTTAGCAAATACATATCAAATTTTTCAGGGATATATAAAATTCATGATGACTTTTCAAGATTTACATTCAGTTTGCCCATGGAATGATTACAAGTTATTTATATTCATATTATGCTTAGTTAAGGAGAAACAAACCAAAGCAAATAAATAACATCTTTGTCTTACCTAGCGGTGTTTTTGACAGCTTTGGGGCTTACATTAATAAGTTTATCAAGACCTTGTTCACTGCTAAAACAAAATAAAATAAATGGTCAAATGCAGTTGGAAATCAGCAAATTTTATGACTGGTGTTTTTTCTTTTGACATTTGTGAATTCTTTGATGGGATCCTAGACAAAAAGTGATAAATGTAATGAGTTTCTACTTTGTATAAAATAGTTATCTTTTTTAAATCCTCAAAGCAACTGAGTTAAATATCACCATTCTCTTTTCATAAATAAATAGAGTTGCATGAACGTTAAGGCCTTCCTTAAGCCAAGTACCTAAGCAATAACTGAGGGTGAATTAGGTAACCACACGTTGCCTCCTGCCCACTTCCTTCCTCTCTCTGTTCACAATAATTCCTTACAACTGCACAAGGCTTTTCACCAACATTATCATCACAATAATTCCGAGAGGTAGCTTGGAGTTACTCTGTCATGCCTTTCTTAACTTTTACTCCAGTGGACAAGGAGTCTTAACTTCTTAAGAAGACAGGAGCATATCCAAAGTCTTATAGAAATATTTCTAATCAAGTATTGGAATGTTATGTCACCAAATTTCTGAAGAGTCATTTGAAAATTAATCCTTAGGTTTATGAAGGAGAATAAAGCCAATATTCTTTGGTTTATTCAGTTTTATGAACTTATAATTTATTAACTAAATTTGCAGTAATAATCTAGTTAAGTTATAATTGCATTAAATGAATTTCTCAGGTAGTCATTATACAGAATTAACTTCAATATTACAATTTGAACAATATTATAATGTAACAAATTGAAGCAATATAAAAACCTATCCAGGATTATTACATGTCAGCAAATCAATTTTTCTCATTTTTTTTCATATCCCCTTTCAAACATCCCTAGCCAAATAATTAACTTTATTCTGGGGCATAAATTGAAGACTTGCTCATGACTCTTCAACATGCTAATTACTTTACATCATTGCAGTGGTTTTTGTCATACATTGAAATGAATTAGCCATGATGAAACCAAAACCTGGGACTTTTTAAAAAGGAGTGTATTTCCTGATTCTAAGGTATGGAGGTATTCATACATAATATGAATATGTAACATTGAGGCTACTCCAAGATATTAAACAATTCAGAATCATGCTTCATGCAATGCTATATCAGAGCAAAGAAGACGTCTGACAATAAAATTTGCTTTTTTACTCAAATAGGCGATAATAGCTCTAAAAGGGGGCTTTCCTTGTGGCTCAGTGGTAAAGAACCTGCCTGCCAATGCAGGAGACAGGTTTGATCCCTGGGTCGAGAAGATGCCCTGGAGAAGGAAATGACAACCCACTACAGATTATTGCCTGGAGAATCCCATGGACGGAGGAGCCTGGCAGGCTACATACAGTTCATGGGGTCACAAAAGAGTCAGACACAACTTGGTGACTAAACGGCAACAATCTCTAAAAAGACATTTCTGTTATTGCACTGGGCTTTCATATCAGCTCTAACATCAAAAGGCCTAAACAAGATATATAACTTGATATACATTATTATTGGACAATTTGCTACATATCCTGAAAAGAAAAGAGACTAGAAAGGCTTCTATAACCTAACTAATCTTTAGGATTAACCTATAAATGAATTTCATCATGTTCATATCCTTCTATGTAAATTATTGCATTCTGTTATATTGAATTATTTGAAATTGTCATTGGCTGGGTCAAAAATTGTTGAATGTCAACAATTTCATAAGATTCAACCTAATAGATAACTTCTTAGGCATCTTGCTTGAACTAAGCATTGAGTGGTGCAATGGGGACTCAACAATGAAGAAAAGCAGTAACACTAATAATAATACCAATAGATAATGTCTAATAAGTACTTGGGGAATAAATGCTTCATAAGCTAATTTTTCTGGTAATTCATTGAAGAAGGTAATTCTTACAATCCCCACTTTACAGATAAAGAAGTTGAGAATTCAAGGAGGTGAAATGATTTGTCCAAGATTATACATCTATAAAGACTTTGACTGTGTGGATCACAAGAAACTGTGGAAAATTCTGAAAGAGATGGGAATACCAGACCACCTGACCCACCTCTTGAGAAACCTATATGCAGGTCAGGAAGCAACAGTTAGAACTGGACATGGAACAACAGACTGGTTCCAAATAGGAAAAGGAGTATGTCAAGGCTGTATATTGTCACCCTNAAACTCTAATGAGCTCATGAATCACCCCAGTATCTGGTTAAAATGCAGATTCTGGTTCAAATGGCCTGCAGTGCAGCCTGAGATTCTGCATTTCTTTATTAGTTTTTCAGTGATGGCATCACCAACTCGATGGACATATGTTTGAGTAAACTCCGGGAGTTTGTGATGGACAGGGAGGCCTGGTGTGCTGCTATTCATTGGGTCACAAAGAGTCGGACACAACTGAGGGACTGAACTGAACTGAACAGCTAACAGATAATCTCTAAACTAAAAAATTTTACTACCAAGTGGAAGAGATGAACACATGATGTAATGCAAGACATGGCAGAGGGCAGGTGCTGAAATAAGGCTCACACATATTGCATGGGAAAGGTCGTATTATTAAGGCTTTCTTCACTTTACAAACTAAGTCATCTTGGAAGAGGGACAAGGGATAACTGTCTTTCATAGAATCTTAATCTGTAACATAAAGTATTACATGGTCTCTGGATTCGTTATCTGACCCTCAGACAGTGACGATGCATTATACTTTCATTTAGTGAACAGAATATAAGGACAATTTAGAACTCAATATTCAAATGAAAGAATGATAAATCCTTTAGTCTAACTATAAAGTGAATGAAGCAATATATGCAACGGAGACTGAGTTTTGGAAGTTGTTCCAAGTACTTGCAGGGTTGATCCTCTTCACCCACCCATATGAAATACTGCCTAGGAATCAGCAGTCTATGGTCCTCAAGCTAAATCCAGCCTGAAGTCTGGTTTTATAAGTAGAGTTTTATTCAAACATAGCCATTCCCATTCCTTTACAATGTGTTATTAATGATCGCTAGTTTAAATAAAGACTGTTTTGGGCCCCTATACCTGAAATTTTATTCCCTAGCCCTTCAAGCAAAAGTTACTGACTCCTGACCTACTCTAGTAAACTTTATATGATAGCTATCTACTGTTAAAATAGAATACCTAGAAGCAAAGTAAGATAGAAAACTCTGTGAGAGAGAAGATACATGCTTTGGTACCTTTTATTTTTAACTCACATTCAAACTAGCATAACAATATGTGTTTATAGGTTCATGGTTTGGCTATATCTCTTTGTTTACTCAACACAGTGGACCTTAAAGAAAATTCTTTTTTGTATTGTTTATTATTTCAATGAACTAACTATAATTTTTTTAAATGACCCCCCAACTTTAGGAATTATTGGAGTGTAAATGGAAGAGGAAAGGGAAAAAATGATGACGGATGGAGGACGAATGAAGGAGATTTTCTTTACATGAAGACCTTCTCTTAGGCTGCTTATCTGTAGGAAATTGTTTGGGGAAGATGCTTCATCCCAGGAGGAATCTCGATTTATTTTGAGGAAATCCCAAGCATGGAAAACAAATCCCACATGGATAAGAGATTATTCTCATATTTTAAGGAATTCCTCCACAAATATTCACAACCAGGGATCCCTGAATAAAGGAATTGAACATTAGGTTTCTGACACAGAGCTATTGTTTTGGGTCTCATTACTGGTGGTTTCTTTGATAGAACAACAAACAGTTTTATCATATTTTCTAAGTTGAACAGAATAAAATGGAGAAATAGAAGAGTTCCATAAACCTCACCCTTGGTTAGTTTTGTTTGTTTCCGGAGTCACTTTGATGACATTGTCAAGACTTTGGTCCCTTTAAGACATGGAAGAAAGGATGAGATCATATGACAGGTTACATCAAATTGTTGAAAATATTTACAAAAATGGAAAAGCATTTTTATTACAAAATATTTTACTAGAAAATATTGATTAAAATAGAGATCATCTCAAGGGATTGGAGGTTTTCAATGTTGACTCTGAATATATATTTGGACCTAACTATAACCACATGGAAATAATGAACAATAATTTGTGGTTTCAGAAAATTCATGATGTGCCAGGCACTGTGCTAAGTGATTTACGTGATTTATATGATTTAATACTCGTATCAACTATATGAAATAGTATAAAAATATTAATAAACTGAAACCTTAATGAAATAGAGTTGGGAGACCATCATGGGGGCTCTCTCCTGCCCTGTGACAGTAGCAGAAGCCAGCAGGACGAGGAAAGACTTTTCTTCTTTCCTGGCAAGGACTCAGCCAGTGAAAAGCTGTGAACTCTTTGCTTACTGTAGTCCTCCCAGTATCCTTTCCCCATTCCCCTCTATAAAAGTGATCTTTCTTCTTCTTCAGGGACTTGCATGTGGCTCCCCATGGTTGCAGACCCCAAACTACAATTCTCTGATGATTTGAGCAAATCCATCTTGGCTGGAGAAATATCTGACAGTCTGTTTGTTTCAGGTCAACAATAGGAAGTATCATCATCTCCATTTCAGAAAAGGAAAAGCTGAGACCCACAAAGATGAAGTTTTGCCCACATGGCCTGTAGTGGCAAGGCTGGAATGGAAAGCTATGTAATTAACTCCAGAGTGTGCACATTTATCATAACACCAACCATCTTATTGGAAATTATTAACTGAATTGACATTGGAAGTGACAAGGGAACATCTGGCCCAATTTCCTCACTGTGAGGATGAGAAACCGAAGTCCAAACAGGAGTGTGATCAGGCCCGTTTCTCACTGTCAGGGAGGGCAGAGTCATGCCCAGACCCACATCTCTGGGCTCTGGTCTGATGCTCTTTCCTCTCTCTTGTGCCATCCCTCTGCTTAAGAAAAATAAACAAATCAACCAATAAAAGTGTCCTGACCACTACTGTTTGGAATAGGGAACTCTGCTCTATGTTATATGATAGCCTGGATGGGAGTTTGAGGGAGAATGGATACATGTATATGAATGGCTGAGTCCCTTTGCCATCCACCTGAAACTATCACAACATTGTCAATCAGCCTTACCCCAATACAAAACAAAAAGTTTTAAAAAAACAAACAGTTAACTGATTGCAAATAAAAGACTATATACCCAGTAAACCATCATTCCCCTCAGCCCTCGACGGCCAAACACTTTGTTTTCTTGGTTGCCAGTGGATTTGCCATTCTGGACATTTCAGATAAATGATATTTAATTGTGGGGAAAAAAAAGTGTCTTGTCCATCCTGGGAAAACACTGCACCTAATGAATCAAAATACCTACATTACATTAGAAATTGGCTAACCAAAATCTTTAACAGCTTATATATGAGGTGGTGCAGGTTACATGGTTTTTCTTGAACAACCATTGATACATTGATACTATAGCAGTGTCAGTCTGCTGAAATGATGATTTAAGTATGTTTTTAAGCATTGGTTAACATGAAACAAAAAAGAGGAATGTATTAAATCTTACCCTTGCGCACTTTTCCCAGTTCTTGGGTTCACTTTGATGAGGTTATCCAGGTCTTTGGAACTTTAAACAAAAAGAAACACAATAAGTAAAAATGAAATTATGTCAACTAATTAAGTCAAACTAATTACTTTAAAGGATATATGTGCTCACGATGAATTTTACAATTAAGTTTTGAGAGAAATCAATACCAGTCTACGTGTTTCACTTAAAAGAGTAAAACTTTTGATTTTCATTGGTATCAGTGTCCTATATACCCTCAAAATAAAACCATAAAATTAGGGCAAGAGTGAGTTTAAAAGATCATCTCTGCAACTATTTGCCAAAAAATCTCACCCTGTCAGCCCCATTTAGTATTCTACCTGATGCAATAGCTATAATTAAACTGTGTTCTGTTAATAATTTCCATTTAAAGGGATTTAAATGGAAATCTAAACACTTTTGGATTTAAACACTTTTTCCTTTAAAGGAATTCTATATCCATTATTTCACAGGATCTTTATAATAATCAAATGACAAAAGTGGAACCGACATTATGATCTTCATTTTATAACTAAATAAGTCTCAGCTTAGTATTCAAGGGACTTGCTCAAACGTACCCAGCTGATAAGTCATGGAATTCAGATATTTTGACTTCAAACCACTTTTCAACACAGCTTCTCTAATGAGAGCCACAAACTGATTCAAAACTTGATGCACAAATTGATGGGAAGGAAGAAAGATAAGGTATAATCCTCACCTTGGGTTACTTCTGTTAACTTCAGGGGTCACTTGGATGAGATTATCAAGACTCTGGCCCCTTTAAAACATAGAAAAAATAGTAAAGTTAATAACAGATTACAACCAAGTTGATAAAACTATTCATTAAAACTCAGAAACAGTGTAAACACTAAGATCATGCCGAAGAGCTGAAGATTGTTAAAGGCACACAGAAGTAAGTAGGGATTTATACATCTCTGCAACTCACTGAGACTCAGAGGGACAATATTTTAATCTTGGAGCCATCAGGCACTAGCAAACACTGAGATAGGACTCTGCTTTGATTCTTTGAATGCTATGCCCTTAGCCTTTTCCAGGGGCTCTAAACATAGTAATGTAATATGTAATAGTCTGTAATAGTCTGTGTACATGTTCCTGGAACACTCCACAAAGCCAACTCTACCCATCAGCTTCCAACATGCTGTGGGAATTTTGAACTTTGGAGAACCCTTATTTTGTAAAATTGTCAGCCGTTAGCAGATTTTCTATTTAAACACTGGACTTAGATAAGTGTACCCTGAACATTCATTTGAAGGACTGATGCTGAAGCCAAAGCTCCAATACTTTGGCCACCTGATGTGAAGAGCCAACTCATTGGAAAAGACCCTGATGCTGGGAAAGAGAGAAGGCAGAAGAAGAATGAGGTGACAGAGAATGAGATGGTGGGATGGCATCACCGACTCAATGGACATGAGTCTGAGCAGGCTCCTGGAGATGGTGAAGGACAGGGAAGCCTGGCATGCTGTAGTCCATGGGGTTGCAGAGTCAGACATGCATGACTCAGCGACTGAACAACAATAACAAGAAGCAATTTGTTAAAGTCCACAATATACAATCTGTTATCTCCTGCTGGTACCTACTGTGTATTAAAACTACAAATTTTGACTGGTTGTGTTGGCAATAAACAATAAGAAGATTAAAATCTATCAACTTTTGAAATGTAAGTTACAATGTAAAACTGTAATGTAAAACACCATGTAGTCACTGAGAAAGACTCAATATTTTACAGTTACCCTTTAGGATATGTGCTTCTGATCTTAATGGAATTTTTCTTTTTCCTATTGTTTCTACATGTGTTTTCCACATTCCCAGTGCCAGCCAATATGCCTCTGATCTACAGAGGATACTATATGGGTAAAGAACATCCATAGAAGGCGCATTTACACCCTGTATCCCCATGCCCCGTGGCCCCACTAAGATCAGATCATAAAGTCTCCAAGGTGGTATCAATGCAACATCAAAGATACAGATATCTGGAAGCAGCTAGCTAGATGCTGACTCAAGTTCTTACTTATTTCCAGATGTCTGAGAATGTGCACATCCATGCTAAAAGCAGCAATAAAAAGTTTGAACCTTTTTCATGCAAATAATGAAATTTTTAACCCCCCCAAAAAACAACTATTCTACCCCAGAATATCCTATGTTGATTTTTTTAACCCTTTGTGGCCTAAACAAAATATGTGGAATTTGAATGCCAGTGACTGAGAAGAAAAGTATTCCCAGGATTCTGTTTCTAGTATGCTGTGTACTAGTACTCATTTGAGTACTCAAGAAGAAACCCCACAGCATTAAGCATTGCAGCTCCTCCTTTGTAACATCTGTGTTGTTTCTGTTGGAGACTTTAATCTCTTTATTTTGAATAAAGTACACAGAGGGTTGTGTAATTTTTAAGGTTCATAAACTCAATAAAGAAGAATGTGCTAGTTAAAGTGTAATGGAAAATAATATTTTGAGCTCCACGGTGGGAAGCAGTGCCTCATAGTGTATATTTCTTCAATATTTATGCAGTCTTTCAATCCACAAACAGTTACAGAAAGCCTACCATGGCCCCAAGTGCTGGGATAGCTGTGAACAATACAGACAGGCTTAAACCTAAAGAAACATCCATTCCAGGACTTTCCTGGTGGTACGGTGATTAAGAATCTGCCTGCCAATGCAGGGGACACTATTTCCATCCCTGGTCTGGGAAGATCCTACATGCTGCAGGCAACTAAAGTGAAAGTGAAAGTGAAGTTGCTCAATCACGTCCTACTCTTTGCCATCCCATGGACTATAGCCTACCAGGGTCCTCAGTCCATGGAATTTTCCAGGCAAGAGTACTGGAGTGGGTTGCCATTTCCTTCTCCAGGGGATCTTCCCAACCCAGGGATTGAACCCGGGTCTCCCTCACTGCAGGCAGACGCTTTACCATCTGAGCCAGCAGCAAAGCCCGCAGGCAACTAAGGGCGCCGCAATTACTAGAGTTTGGCGCTCCAGAGCCCACAAGCCACAAGTACTAAAGCCCACAAGCGTAAGGCCCGTGCTCCACAACAAGAGAAGCCACCACAAGGAGAAACCCATGCACTGCACCTGGAGGGTAGGCCCCACTCCCTGCAGCTAGAGAAAGCTCACGTGCAGCAACAAAGACCCAGTGCAGTCAAAAATAATAAATTAAAACAAGTAGATTTTAGAAAGAAGCTTCCATCCTAACTTGGCGAGAGGCAGGCCACATGCAATCAAACATATAAGTGAATGCTACAATTCTAGATAATAGCATATGGTACTAAAAATCAGTGCCAGGTGCCTGTGATGCTAGGTTTGGAGAAGGGTGTGGTGATGTAATTATATTCACTGGTTAGAAACAATCTCTTTGAGAAGGTAATGGAAGTGTTAATGCAGGAGTGAGGCTGGATAGAAAAGAGGTAAGTTTGGCTGGACTTTACTGAACACGTGAAAGGCCATTGCTCAAGTTTAGAACTTAATTCTACCTGAATTAAGAGAACTTTGGAAGTTTTTTAATAAGGGAGAGAGACAATCTTATTTTATTTTTAAGAGATCCACAGAGTTTAATGGTGCTTGGTGAAAGGGAAAAAAGAAGACCACTGCCCTTAAATCTCCCAGGAAGCACACACATACAAATACACGAATAGACACAAAGACTGCAACACTCTTACACACATACACACAAATACACACATATACACAATCGTGCACATAGGTACTTAATATACATACAAAAGCACATGGATATACTCACACATACATTCAGGCACACACAAGCATTTGTACAGATGTATACAATCACACATACGTCTGCACATACATGCATACACTCATATGCATCCACACATGTAGACACACATGTATACACACACAAGTATACATATGTGAATGCATACATTTGTGTGTGTGTGTGTGTGCAAGTGTACACATAGGCAAACACATACACACACACCCCCCTCAACCTATGAAAAACAATAGATAATGATTTGAAATACTCTCTTTAATAAAAATTTAAAAGGTAAAACATAAATTTTTCTTGTAGAATCAAAGTAAATTAAGTATTTAAAAGTATCCAAATCATTGCTGTTGTTTAGTTGCTAAGTCATGCCCAACTCTTTGCAACCCCATGGACTGTAGCCTACCAGGCTCCTCTGTCCCTGGGATTCTCCAGGCAAGAAAACTGGAGTGGGTTGCCATTTCCTTCTCTGGTGGATATTTCCAACGGAGATCAAACCTACATCTCCTGCACTGGCAGGCAGATTTTTACCGCTGAGCCACCAGGGAAGCCCCATCTAAATCATTAAGAAAACATAATTCACATGAATCTTTATTATTGCTATTAATTATTTATCTCCAATGTGCCAAATGTGATAGTATTATGATCTCTAAATTGATGCCTGGGGCAAGTGACACAGCCAGAATTTGAACCCTGATCCTTTAGACTCCCTGCTCCCTTTCACTGCCTCAAGCTCCCTCCCTGAAACACCTAGGTAACCAGGGAAATCAGTGCTTTCTTCTCCGTTTATTAGCTGCAAAAAACTGCACATGTCTGTAACTTGACGAGTCACTGGGTCTGCAACCACACCAGCATTGCTGAGAATAGGACGGCCTGACGATGCACACCAGCTTTCAGCCAGCCGGGCCCTGGCTCTGACGGGGCCTGCAGGCATTAGTGACACATTTTAGAATCAACTCATAATATCATGTACTGAGTGAATGGAATGGAAAGAGGTTCAAAAGAAACCACATGGAATTACTTGGTATGCTTCTCAGCAACATGACAACAAGCTCAGTTTCAGATATGTTCCATCTGTTTTTTAAAAAATAAAAAAAAAAGCAAGAGGACATAAGCTTTCCAGATTTCCTTGGCAATTCATGGGTAGGGCAATTCTTTTACAAAGCACACTTTGTTAACCTCTTCATCTTTAAACATATATTGCACAACATACATATATACACACTGCACACAAATATAGTATACAGGCACACACGATCTGTACATAAACACATTCACACACACTACTTACACACCCACAAGATACACTTATTTATATACACTACACATACATACATACATGTACACTTATACACACATACTACTTACATACACACATATACATTTATATATATATATAAATATACACACTGTGATGGGCTTTCCTGGTGGTTCAGATGGTAAATAATCTGCCTGAAATGCAGGAGACCTGTGTTTGATCCCTAGGTTGGGAAGATTCCCCAGGAGAAGGGAATGGTATACACTCCAGTATTCTTGCCTGGAGCAGTCCAAGGACAGAGTAATCTGGTAGGCTACAGTCCATGGGATTGCAGAGAGTCACATGGCTGAGCAGCTAACACTTTCACTTTCATA